CAGTTGAACTGGAAGATATATTAAACGCGCTCTATGATCAATCATAGAATTTGCTCATAGTAGTTGCCAAAGCGGTTGGTAATATTTTTAAGGACTGAGATGCCAGTATGAACAACTATATTTTAAGAAGAGGCAAGTGGCTAGTGGAAAAATAATTGTTCTAGGATCATAGGTTGCAACTTAGAACACAGCAATACTAGTTGAGAAATAAAGCAAAGAGCAGTTATACATTCAGTTTTCAGTGAAGGGTAAATGTGGGTTATCATACATAGTGATCTGAGATCAGGGTTTAATTGTCTGGAGAGTACATAATTCAGGAGTGTGTTAATGCAAGCTAAAGCATCATCCCTCAACTGATTAAAGCAGCCACATCTTTTGCAAGTCTCATGCAGCTGCTTTAAAGGTCTCCAGCTGTATCTCTATGTAGGTATGTTGGGAAAATATGATTGAAAAGATTGGCGATGGTATCTATAGGCTAGAACATTCTCTCCTATAAAGATGCATTTAGGATGTTTGGGATGATCATGGTAGGATTTCTAACAATATTTTGCATGATAATTTGATCACAGTAATGCAGAATCCTATTTGATGTTGCATTGCTATCAATACAGGAACCAAAAATGGAAAGCATTGAAAGCAAAACTAATTTACCTGATTCTCCTTTCAAATTTTAAGAACTAAGTTCTCCTTTAGCCTCAATTCTCCAGGAGATTATAATCTATTATTTGTTTCACACTTAAAATATACTTTATAAATAATATCCAATCAATACAATATTTTACACTAAAAATAAAGGGCAAGTAAATAATGTTGACAATTATATATGAAACAATAACATACAGTATTTGAATTTAGCACATTATTCAATTCAAAAAGAACGGGCAAGCAATTCAAGGAAAAATATATTGAATTCAAACGATGGAAAGATAAAGTAGGAATTCAGAAAGTAACAAAGATTTCAAGAAGTTGTTCATTTCATATTTCAGTGATATCTTGCCACAACAAAGGCAGACAGAATTTTGGAGATTTCCTGCCACGAAAAAAGAGAAAGAGAGTGTTAATGTTTACGAACACTAAGAGGGAATCACCTTTTTCACAGAAACTGCTTCATTTGCTAATAGGAAATAGATATATTGCTTTGGATATTGGTGCCAAAAACTGCCTATTGCATTGTATTCTGGGTCAGGGAAAATGTTGGACCAGGTGACTTGGTTGGGTTAATGGCATTGTTTCTGGCTTAAAAAAGGTAATTGCCAACAATTAAGTGGCCCTGACAAGATTTTCCAAACTCCTTATTAACAAAAAAGGAAAAGTTAATAAGTCACTTTAAAGTGTAAGACTATTGCCCTGACTAAGGAAAGTAACATCCTAGCTAGAGGCACAGGAGACTAGGAATACAGACCTATGGATTCATCCTTTCCACATCTGTCACTGTTTCACTGAGACTCCTCAACAATGTAAATGAGAAAAGATGAATGTTATATTTAAGTCCTTTTAATATTATTTATATTTCAATTGCTGCATACGAAATTGTTATGCTGTATATACAGGAGGTCATGGAACAGGATCCATGAGGTCATGAAATGTGGATCCCTCACCCCATTTCTTTCAAACTGCCATTTCCCCCTTCCCCAACTAGATATGCCAGTAAGACTCCTAGTGCATAAGGACATCAGATTTGCTATAGGATGAAACTGTTGCCTGTAATCAATGCTTCTTAGCTTACCCATAGTATTAAGGTGAAGGTGAAGGTTCCCCTTGCACATATGTGCTAGCCATTCCCAACTCTAGGGGGTGGTGCTCATCTCCATTTCAAAGCCAAAGAGTTAGCACTGTCTGAAGATGTCTCCATGGTCATGTGGCTGGCATGACTAAACGCCGAAGGTACACGGAATGCTGTTACCTGCCCACCAAAGGTGGTTCCTATTTTTCTACTTGCATTTTTACGTGCTTTCAAACTGCTAGGTTGGCAGAAGCTGGGACAAGTAACGGGCATTCACTCCATTACACAGTGCTAGGGATTCGAACCGCTGAACTGCCAACCTTTCTGATTGACAAGCTCAGCGTCTTAACCACTGAGCCACCACTCTCCTTATTACCCATAGTCTTACAGTTGCACAAACATTGAGCCACTTTGGGAACACAAGTTAAAGGATAGGAACAAATCACCTAACACAATGGTAGCATACTGTTTTAGCATCATAGATTGTGATCTATATTAATTATTCCAAAGGATTCACTGGAGACTGAAGTATTTTCTTTCCCTTCCCCGATTCTATTATATAGCCACACAAAAAAAACCCCAAAACATTAGCCGCCATTACAATTACAATGAAACTGCATCAATAAATAATCTATAAATCAAGATTAAGGAAGACTTTCCAGGCAAGATGTTTGGTAATGATGGTGATGATGTCAATGATAATTAAAGCAGGAATATAATTGAAATTATACATGTACAGGCAGTAAAGAACTCCCCCTTGCTGTAGTTCGAATAAAAAAATAAAAATGGCAGCAATATAAACTTTCTTCTCTACCTATTCTGATCTTCTTCCTCCATTAGCGGCTATTGTTTTAAAGGGGAAAAAACTAGACTTATAAATATTATACACTGTATGTAATATATACAGAAGTTTGTGGCTTAAAGACCCAGGGTCACATACAGCCTTGAATTGCAGCCCTCAAAGATCTCAAAAAATAGTTACCATTAATGCTTCAGTTTTAATGGGTCAGAAAGAGGAAATTGATTTCATGACTAGACAATATCCTAAAACTATTTAAGGCATTAGGCTATAAACTAGGACAATGTGGCTTCTAGCCCCACCTTAAGCACAAAGCCAGTTGGAAGACTTTGAACCAGTCACATTCCCTCAACTCTAGGTAGGAGGCAATGGCAAACCATTTCTCAAACTCTCGCCAAGAAAACTGCAGAGATTTGTCCAGACAACCTCCAATAATTCAGACATGATTAAATAGAACAAAAAAAAAAACCAAAAAAAAATATACTTTTTGTCTTGTTCTATCCAGTATTGAGATATGCATTTCTCTCTCACTGAAAATTATTCAATAATTAAATGCAACTCTAAACTGTTATTGGAAATAAATCACTCCATCTCTTCCAGAAGTAAACATTTGCATTTCAAATAAAAAATAAACACAAAGAATTAAGAAGAACAAAACAGTTTTCTTCTTAAAACTCTTCCAGATAACCACCCTCAACATTCCAGACATCCAAACTAACATTCAAAGGAAATTCAATTCAATTCTGATTCTACAATTTAAGATGTTAGGACAATATGGGATTCAAAGGAGAAGCACTAATTGTGCTCAGCCAAAACTAAACAAATTATATTGTGGCTTAGTGCAATGCTTGAATCCAATTAATATCCTATGTATGTCTATTTCAAGTATTATTTCTTCCTCTTCTCCTTGCCCTCCTTGACCCATCACACTATTAGCAAGATGGAGTGTTTCAGGTCAAACTGGTTTATTCTGACCTTACCTGAGGTGTTACTAGAAACTTTTCCATTCTTCCAAAAGGGTTTCACGTTGAGTATTGAACAAGAATTAGGTCATTTCAAGATTGGAACTTTTTCAGAATGATTAAAACAGCACCATAATGCTATTCATATTCTCAACTCAGAACAAACCATATTAAACTTGAAAAAGAGAACATTAGTAAACAATTTAATTATACTTTCTCCACTAATACGTTTATATCCATACACATTAGATTATCAAATGGCATTATTAGGGAATGGTTTGTTTTAAATATAATTGATCGAACACATGATAGTATCTTAGTTTACAAAAAGTGGGTTCATGCATCACATTAAATCAAAACTATACAAAGCACATTGTGTTTTAATGCAGTGCATGACTTTGGGCCAGTAACTCTGTCTTGACCCAATCCACTTCACAGGGTTACTGTTGTGAGGAAAACAGGAGGAGGAAGGAATATTAGGTATATTCACTGTCTGGAGTTATTCATAAAAATAATATATAATATAATATCAGAGAAGTTGCAAGAAGTTAGTAAGAATTACTGCGTAGTATTTCATCCCCAGTATGGATGAGTCCAAATATGAATAGAAAGCTGCAACAAAAATGAGACATTGAGCTGATCAAAATGTGGGGTTATGAACTATTGTATTACCGTGTAGAAGGAAAGCTCTGAAGGAAAAGGATTCTGATCTACAGATGAAAACCCGAATGTGATTGTTACGTCTAAAGTCTGTGTTCAACAGACCTCTGACTGCTGTGTTCTGACATAGACAATTTCACTACATTGATCTAAGTTAAGTTTTTTTTTTAAAGATGAGGTTGCAGATTTCTAGTAAAAGTTTAAGCACAACTAGTTTGTTTTTTTCTTCTAGGGAAGAAAATAGAAAGGTGTTGGATTTTTCTCCTGATTTTTTCACTGGAATTATAATGTCTTGGAGTTGGTTATATGAGGAAGAAAAATTGCTGTTGTGTTGCAGACCCATATTACTATCCTTCTTTTTACTATTACTATCCATAAAAAAGCTCCGTCTTTTATGTGCTAGAAGATACCAACATCAACACATATGAGGCCATCTTCAAGACTCTAAAGTAGAATTCCACCTAGCTGAATTCGGGAAGTTGTTATGGCTAATCCTGTTTAGCATGAACAAATGAACCTTAAATGCCATTACCTTTCAGAACAGAAATGTGCTGTCGGCTCTCCCCATCTGTAGAGTAATTCCTGAATTCAATATCTTCTCCATCTTTTAATTCAACCTTATCATAACCATACCAGCCAAGGAGCTCATTCATAGTGTTTTCTGCAAAATTCTGAAAGAGAAGAATTACCTACTTATTTATGCAATCAATAATCATTTAGAACCAAAAGATGAATACATAAATCAAAATCTATTTGCACTGTACCGTGAAATAGCAGCTTTGTCCCACCTACTCTAGACTAACGTTCATTTATCAAGTCACATACAAAGAATGTAAAGCATTTAAATCTTTGAATGACATATGTAATTATGACAGGTCTGCATGAATTTGTAATTTAAAGAAAAATATGAGAGGGAAGAGAGCTATTTATCATTCCCAGCACATGAATTGATAGTCAGCAATATATTTAACACATATTTTTCATAAAACTTTATATCCTGTGCTTCTATAAAGTGTTTAAAGCACACCAGGAAAGCAATGAAGAACTGGAATTGTTTCAAAGGCACTAGTCAATCAATCTTACAGATTACAGCAATTCAAATTAGTACAGAAGCTATCACTTCAAGCAAAGATTCATTTAAACCAAATCTGATAAAATAGAAATGCAGATAGTTATAGAAAATAATGCAGATATATTTCAGATTTTGTTAGGAACCACTAATTCCCACTCTCATATATTGTTCTTCCTAAGTAGTCTCAGCCATTTCTTTTCTATTTGGTAAACATTGTGGGGTTCTACAATATTAGCTTGTCTTCCATTTTTATATTTTTATCTTTCAAATAGACTTTCCCACTTTTCTACTAACTAAAAATAGTTCCTTTATTCAGGTAAACTAATATACTGTTTTCTTTCCACTTGCACAAAGGCACTTTCCCACTTTCTTCCCACCTGCAATTGGCAATTAACATAGATCTTTCAACACTGAAATGGTACGATAATGAAATCATGGCCTAATTAGTAATTAAAAAGTTGGACTCTGTGGCACCCCAGAAAGTAGGAGCCTGGGCTGGACTTTTCCCCCTTTTACCAACACTTCACACCAACAGTGACTGAACAACACTGCCTCCGTTTCCGAACCTCATCAGCTGGTTCAGAAAGACACCATCATGGTACTGAAAGCCATTCAGACATCAAGTAGGATCAGGATGGATACTCCATGCCCACCCCAGGCCCAGCAGAGATGATCCACAAGCACAACTCATGTCATGTCAGTATTTTACTTCAGCCTAAAACAAGATTGTAATTGGTCAAAATAGAAGAAGATAGAAAATTACTTTACTCTGATATATAACTGTCTGAAATATATACACACACACATACAAATGCACATTATTGGGGGTGGTAGCATCTGTGTATGTAATTAGGGCCCAAGGCTGAATTTTTTTTTTAATATAATAATGCAGCAATGTAAATGAAAATGTAGCACCACACAGTACCTGGTACTACTTATTGAATTTCTCATTTATGCTTATTTGTAACCACGTTTCCACTCACATGTAACCTAAAAAGCTTCAATCAAATATGAAAATGTTGTATGTACAGACTTTTTCACAGCTGCCAAAAAACCCTCCACATAAGATTATGATTAGAATTACCGGTAAGAGAAATTAAGTGAGGAGGAGGATGGGATGATATGCCCTAATAAAATAAACATTTATTTATAATGAACACCACCAAATGATATAAAATTAAGTCATATATATATCATGACCAACTGATTTCTAGGATTTGGGCTGTTTTAGTGTACTCTCTTGATATCAATGAATCAGATATTCTAATCTACCCATCTGTTTTGGGAATCCAAAATACTTTTTATTTGTATTCTTCCTTCCTCAAAAAATGAACAGATGGAAGGGGATGGTTAATGAGTGCAAGGGCCATGGAAAGCACTCTAAAACTAGCAGGAAGTAGTGGAACAACGGCCATATTTTGATCAAGGCTGGCAATTGCAAGCAAAATGCCACTGGGCTAATCCAACTCTCTATAGAAAAGGGACCAATAAACTTCCAATCCAATTTCTTGGACGGGAATGAGGAGGACAAAAAAAAAACAAAACCCTAATGGAAACTTTGACAACCCCAACAAACAATAGGACTTCCCTATTGATGAGCAACAGCACACTTGCAAGAAGTCTTGGCATATTCTAGCTGCACTTTGAAAAGTAGTTGTGCTACCTGCATCTCTTATAAATATTTAAAACCTTTAGGACAGAAGGGGTAGCCTTGGTTAAGCAGTGGGGGTAAAAGCCATAGGAAACCTAAAATGGTGATATGTCAGTAGAAGAATGAACTACCATAACTTGTTAAAAACAAATATAGTCAGAGTTAGGCCAATTTGTTCTGTGGATAGTTGACATGAAGCATTAATCTAAAGTAGAAAGATTATGAAGAGCAGAGAATAAATGGATCTTAACATTCAGTAATTGGAACAAGGCTTTCCAAATACATGCTGTAATTGCACTTCTCTATATGAAATTCAGATGATTAGCCATACTTTTCTGCTGAAATGCATTATTGATCAACAATTTGGTGGTTTCTGGTGTAGACTGAAAATCCTTACCTGAAACAAAGTGAATCATTTTTGTAAACAAATCTATCACTACCAAACTATCAATCAGACTCTCAAAGCCCAGTAATAGCATTCAAAGAGACTGTCCCAAATCTTTTCAGAGAGGAAATTCAATATTAAAAAAATCCCCCCAAAAGAACTACCTATAATGCATAAAGTTATATTATACACCCAACCTGAAAGCACAGAATAATAGAATGGATAAAACAGCTGTTGCTTCACTGCATCTTAAGTCCTGGCTCTCAAGTAGCCTAAGGCCTCCCACCTGTTCGAAAGTCTTGAAAGGGAAAATGTCTTTGTTTGCTGAACTCTCAGCTGGGGGCAATTTGGACTTTTATTAACAACACAATCTTTAAATCTATAGATAAAAACATTGTCATTTTTTGTAATAATTGTATTATTTATTTTTATTAATACAAAGATAAAATATTGATACGAACTAAGAAAAATATTTTAAAAAGAACAAAGGAAAGAAAAAGATAAGTCCAAAGTGATAGAAAATATAAGGAAAAATATATATAAAGAATGATTTCCCCCTCCCTCCAAGCAACAATGAATAAATTCAGTAACTTAACACTTTCTCCAATATTTGAATTAAAAAATGATACATTTTCCTAATACATCAGGGCTGTCAATCTCCTGGCTTACGGGCCGGATGCGTCACATGCTGGCCATGCCCACCGCCGATTTAGTGAAGGGGG